CGAAGGAAAAAGGTTAGAGCTGAATAGGATAATTGACAGGTAATGATAGGAAAGTCTCTTGGATGTTTTTGGGGAGGTGAAGGCTTCGCTAAAATTGCTTTTGAACATTTAAAAAGCAAGAAAATAGAGGAGAAGACTAAGAAGAGAGAAGAAAGCTCAACAATAATATTAATATAATATTATATGTTATCTTCTTTAACATTAAGAATTATGAATGTGACATAACCACTTAACCACAAATTGTATCATTGATAATGTTACCATCAATAGACCTTATTAATGGACGTAGTACGACCGAACTCCACATTGACTAATGGGCGTAGTACGATGGCATCCTCGTCAAAGACTCGGCCAACCTATAATGGCCAAGGCTCGACAACCATCAATAAATGATCCAACCAGATAGACGGTCGAGGCCAAAACAAGCCCTCGATTGGCACTACGGGAACAACGTCCCCACAACAATGGCAAGAGGATGCCCAACAAACTTTGGGTGCCCTCCCAACTTATAATTGGAGCAGAGGAAACCAAGGACCATAGCTAGCCCAGTCAAAGAGCATAAGGCTCTCCAAGACTAGGTGCCACCAAGCTCCCCAACAACGTTGAGAGCTTGGAACCAATTCGGCCAAAATTAAATTGAGGCCACGAAGTTGAAGACCTCAGTAAGTCCAAGACCTCGACCAACATGAGATCAAGGCCACGAAGTTGAAGACCCTGACCATCTAGCATCAAGCCCAAGACCTTGGCCAACATGAAACTGAGGCCACAAAGTCGAAGACCTCGGTAAGCCCAAGACCTCAGCTAACATGAGCCCAAGGCCATAAAGTCCAAGACCCTGGCCATCTAGCGTCAAGCCTAACCTAGATTATCCATTCTTGAGATAACTCCAAATAATTGTAACAGCCCCTCCCCTTAAAACTATATAAAGGGGGGGGGGGTGGACCAGCACCTGAATTGTTCAATCTCTCTCTGAAACAATTAAGAAGACAATCAAGAAARTTTCAAGAAGGAGATCAACAAGGCAATAAGGCTTCAAGAAGGAGGTGGCGGCAAGGAAAGACAAGATATCAGCTTTAAGGGTGACATCATGAGTTCTTTCTTACCTCTTGTTTGTTTTATTTCCTCTATCATGAATTAATTTATTTATAGTTAGGGTTGTGGAAAGCCTAACCGTGATAATGAATTGATTTCAATTCTAATTTATCAAAGATTGTTATTTTCATATTGTCTATGAGTTATTATGCATAATGCGATTAGGAGTTTGGCCACTTTTTAATTGATTTAGTTTATGTGAATGAATCGGGAGAGGAATTCATATAATGGACTGAATAATTCATGGTGTGAATTGAATGGTATATAGGAAATATATATACATGATTCATCTGAATATATAAGTTTTTCATAGAACTTAATGCATTTYTATYTWGAGAACTCTAGTTGAGAGATCGAAGGGTAACTTGATAGAAATAGATTTGATATATCTTGAGAAAGAATATTAAATAAATTTGGAAAAATTTCAGCTTTTGAAAATGATAAATTTTCTTGGTTAATCTCATCAATTGACATTCATTGGAATGGTTAGGCGGACCAATGGTCCTAGTGATTTCAATTAATCGTTGCAAATCCAGCTATTGATCGTCCTTGCTTTTATTTTTTTTCTTCTATTCTTAATTTTCAGTAGTTCTTATTGTTAAATCTGAAATTCGGTTGTCCAAATAATTAAGAAAGATTGTAGTTCTAATACTTATTTTGTTAAATCCCCGTGAGAACGATATCTTTATACTACTTGATAACTAGTACATTTGCTAGAGTTATATAATCATAGTTATYAAGTTTTTGGCGCCGTTGCCAGGGATTTAATCCCAAAATAATATTAGAACTTGTTAACCTTGGTTAATTTGGATTTTTTATTTTTTATTTATTCGAATTTTTGTTGTATTCAGATTTATTAGTGTATGACACGCACTAGAAGAGAAGAACTAGCAAAATTCGATCATGAAATAGAGAACCCTTTGCATTTTGCAAAGAGCCAACAAAGGTAAAATGGAAGAGAAGGTTGAAAGAGGTGAACCAGCACAAGAAATTGAGGAAGAAATGGAAGCAAATCGAACCCTTTCAGACTATGCTTGTCCAACAATTGATGGGGCTACTTCTAGCATTTGCAAGCCCACAATTCAAGCCAATAATTTTGAGATCAAGCCTACGATTATCCAAATGATTTAAACGAGTATTCAATTTAGTGGGTTGCCAAATGATGATCCTAATGCACATATTGTTAATTTTCTAAAAATATGTGATACACTTAAACATAATTGAGTTAGCGATGATGCTATTAGGCTTAGACTTTTTCCATTCTCATTACATGATAGATCTAAAGATTGGCTTAACTCACTCTCTACAGGAAGTATCACCACTTGGAATGACTTGACTCAAAAATTTTTGGCTAAGTATTTTCCACCCTCTAAAACAACAAAATTAATTAATGATATCACTACTTTTGTTTAATTAGAGAGGGAATCTTTGTATGAGGCATGAGAACGATTTAAAGAGATGCTTAGGAAGTGTCCTCACCATGGGATACCAGTTTGGCATCAAATCCAAACWTTTTATAATGGTATTGCCCCATCTAGTCGTTCCATTATTGATGCAGCTGTAGGAGGTACCTGAAAGAATGGTAGGATCCATCTAATGGACACCATAAAGATTGCGGAATGGGTGGGCAAATTTCAAAAATTTTCCTACCTTCTCCCAACTGGGAATCGTATTCCCTAAATTTAGAATACAATATTCAAGGATCCTATTTGAACCATAGTCGAACCAGATCTGAACCAAAAAGGGAAAGGAGGAAT